GTGTCATTGAGTGAAACTCCTTTTTTATTTTTCTCAGAGGCGTTGAAAACTACACGTACCTTCGTGGTGGTGGTTATCGTTTCTAATCACCGCGTGGTGTGGTAAGTAAACTGCTTCATTTTTCTTACTATCCTCTTCCTTTACAGGTCTCATGTGTCCTAATTGTAAGTATTCATTAATTACTTCTGTATATTTTTCCTTTAAATCTGTGTCCTTATTTAATCTTTTTTCTAACGATTTGAATCTTTTTTCAGCTATGTCTCGTGAACTTCCTGACTTGCATGCAGGTTCGTCTCGAAATGGTAAACGTACAATGTATCTGCCTGTATCATCCCCCTTAGTAGTTTTCATATAAAACTCTTCACATTTTTGCTCTTATGGATTAAGTATTTTCTTTGTACTAACTTGTTCTTCTATCTCCCAGAATTTCTTTAGAATATTGTGTTCATTGAACTGTGTACAGTGCACACTTAAATTTCTTGTGTGGTGTTTTGAACTCTCATTGCTTGAACTGACTACACCGGAAAGGATCCACCCTAAGGTGGTGTTCTGCGCTATTAGAGTATCAGATGGACTCTTTACTACACCTTCCTTCATAATGCAAGAGTAAGCATCTGCACTCAAAAGAATGTCTATTTTATTGGGTGTTTTGAAATAAGGATCTGCTAAACAAAGACCGTTGATATCAATCCAATCCAATGAACTGGTATTCACACTTCTCTCAGGTAAGTATGATGTAATCTTACTCAAGACGTAAGCATTTATTTGAAGTTGAAAATCAAGATCAACAGTGGATTTAATAATTAAATTTACCATATAATTAGCAATGGTTGAGTTATTATCTCCTAAACCTGAAACGTGACCTCGGACTGGAATTTTCTTAAGCCTAAAAAATTGGACAGTGGCCTCTGTTATAAAACATGCTTGTGATCCTTGATCAAGTAGGGCTCGAATTGTTTGAAATTCACCCATCTTGGACTCGGCCTTTATTAGTGCAGTGGCTAATAAAACCTGTCTGGGTTTTAAGACTTTGTCCGTAGATAAGCATGTAACTATCTGATTGTCACTAGTTGAAGAACTGGCGTTATCGATAGTGGACTTTACTGTAGAATCTTGGCCTTTATTCTCAGCATTAGGTTCTCTATTAGGGTGCAACGAGGAATGGTGGCGCGCTTTTTGCAAACTCTACAGACAGTCTGCTTTTTACAGTCATTAACTGTATGATTTCCGCCTAAACAATTAAAACATATTTTATTTTTTGCTACGAACTCTCGTCTGTTTTCTTTGGACTGTTTTGCAAATTGCTTACAAAAAGAGAGCTTGTGAAGTTCCGAGCAAAATTCGCAACAAATATTCGACGACTTTGTGGCCAGCATTGCTTTCGAACTAAGAACGTGAGAACTATTATTGATCTGGTAAGCCACAGCCTTCCTCGGCTCTATACATTCTAACGCGCGAAAACCACTTTCAATAAATATCCGAAACTGCTCAAAGGTGGGCAACTCGTTGCTGGAGTCATTAGAAACACTTTACTCCCACTGCTCGCGTTTCATTATCTAATTTGAACGTCACTATATGGATAAAAATAACGTCCCATGTACTCACATCGATTATCAAATTTTTCAATGCATTTAAACAGTCGCTCGTGGTATCTAGCAGCTCCTTTAATGAGTTAGCCGATTCCACATGTACGAGTTTCTGGCCGAACAATCTTTTTAAAATACAACTGGTTAGATACTTTTTATTTGCATAACGCTTTTCTAACTGAGACCAACATTCGCTGTAATTGGCATCTGTGATTGGTGTGTGCCTAATCAACTGTTCGGCTTCACCAGTGAGGTGGCTTTTAAGATAGTGTAGTTTTCGCACATTATCTAAAGACGCATTATTGTGTACAAGTGAAATAAAAAGACCGTGAAAAGATGTCCATTCACTGTACTTGCCATAAAAAGTAGGAATTGTTATCTTGGGCAACTTTACAAATGAATTAGATTGCTAAGAAGAATTATGTATTACTACATCCACTACCTTGTGGTAGCGGTTCTCTAATACTATTTAACGTTGATTTCATTAAACATTTACATGATATGTAAGTATCTTCGTTTATGTCATATATATTGATAACCTTTTGACATATGTCTTCTAACTTAAACCGACCATAAAGTTGAGATTTAGTGTTTTTAAACGAAGACCCATCATTTTCTAATAATTCAAGCATTGTTTGTATATATTCTACTGTAAGTTTATCTTTTGGACACTTTTTAAAATTAGTAAAGGCCTTTTGAATTACTTGTTGAAGGTCTTTCAATATATTAATTTGTCCTTCCATCGTAAACAACAAACAAAATGATAGTAAAATATAGTTATAGAATTGATTAATTAATATCAAAAAACCAAAAATTATTTATGTAAAGATAAATGTATCAATCCGAATGTTAACACAATATGTAATGTAAAATTTAACAAGTTTCTTTACTAGACAAATGTTAGCGAATTTTTCTAAGTCTCAAAAACAGCGAAAAATTTTACAAGTGTTTATAAACAAATACATTCTGGTAGAAATCGGACTTAGGTTCCTTAATCTAACATGTACAATTTTAAAGTTAAAATCTTCTTTGAAATAAAGTTTAAAATTGCTTGGCAAATATTGTCTACAGTACTTGTCACTAATCAAGTTATATTAAATGTCTCTGCTACTATGTATTAAATTAAATTGTACTCACGTTTGCACTTCACTCACACAAACCCAGGTTGAACTAGTAGTGTACTCGTGGCGCCCTCCTTCGGCGTCACTTTGAACTTCAACTCCCAGCTGCTATCGACGAACTCGAAGATTGAATTGGCGATGTACTGCTGATGGCGCCCTCTGTGGCGTCACGTTGAACTAACACTCCCAATGCAGCTGAGTATGGCCCTCTTGCTGGCCAAGCTGTTGCTGCCTCTGCGAGGTGCCCGGTACTCTTGCCGCAGCGATCCACTGCGAATACAACGGGGTGCGGCCCAAAGCTGGCACCGCAAACTAACAATAAGTTCAGATTATTTCGGGTCTGATATCCAGGGTCGATGGACCAATCAGGCTGGCGCAACTTCCATAGTAAAAATTATATGTACCACAGGGGTCAAATTTTAATGACGGTTATCTCTTCTTTCCGCTTTTCGTAATATGTCTATTAATGACATTGTCAAATCAAATAGGTTCAAATGTCAAATCAAACAATTATATTTGTTTAATTATATTTTATTTATTAAGATTGCTTTAAATTTTATTATAGAAGCTGTTGTTCATTTACACAATTGTTAAAAAAATAAATAGGTATGCATTATAAAACTTGCCAATTAAATGGTGCAAGAAGCGGAAAAAATAATAACAAGAAAAGGCTATTCGTAGCAATATTTCCCTTAGATGATGAAAGGTATGTGGTGAGTTCAACTTCAACTTCAGTTTGGATGTCTAGCTCTCCTCGGGAAGTTCAACAATAGTTGGACATGAGATGTGAAATTGATTGTTGATATTCTTACCCTACACTATGTAGCAAACTGGTCAGTCAGTTCAACTTTAATTGTAATATGATGTTTAACGCGACTACATTTTTGGACTAGCCATCTACATGGGAATGGTTTTAATTGTGTACGATTGTGTGCATAAATACAAACACTCAATTTCCTAAATCTGATAGTTCCATGGGATGGCAATCCGAAACCAACTATACTTAAAAACTACATCATCAATTGTGACTGATAACATTCTATTTGTTCAATAAAAATGTGATTTTATTTATATTATTTTTCAGGTGCAAGCAATGGGAAAAACAGTTGGCACATGCACCAATTGAAAAGATTCACATGTTAAAATATTTGTGGCAAACATTGCAAATCCGAGGATTTAGAAATCCAACTAAAACGAACTGTTATTTCATCAGTGGAGTTCATTTAATTCCACTATTATGTGTATGTTAATTAGGTTTCATTTACATGTAGCAAAATATAATATCCATATAAAGTCATATATTGGTAAGAATTCGATTATAAAACTAAATTCAAAGTTATTTGTAATTATCTGGTTATAAATAGTTTTTCTATAGATTCATCTACAAACATTAGCCATAATGAGCACTCATTTTGAAAGCGACAATAAGTATACGATCTCTGCGAGTAGTATGTACGTAGGCAGTGACGGATTAAAGGAGGGGCTAGGGGGGCTATAGCCCCGGGCCCCACCTTGGGAGGGGGCCCCGCGGTCTCGAATCAAAGACAAATTTTTTAAACCTATTCAAAAGAATTTTGAATAAAAGTAAAATGTTTTCCAAAGAAAATAAGTTAACCAAAATTATCTACGATTTTTAATTTGCCATCGGTTAACTATTTGTTGGCCAACGTCGGGTGTAAATCTGTGATGAAATAACGAAATGGTGGTATTATTAGCGAATGGGTTGGGAAAAACACTAACGCTGCAGCAGTTGGTCACGGTGGCAAACGGTTAGGGGAAATTTCTACCAGAGAATGTTAATGTTTATCGCGTAATAATTTGAGTTATTCATTCATGCCAAAGGTTGTGATTTTCTTTTTTACTTATATAATTTAAATAAATTTATATGAAAGATTATTTAATAACAATTCTAAAGAAAACAAAAGAGAAAAATTAATTCTGTTATACTATCTATTATTATTTTTTTCACTTGTTTATCGCTATAAATAACTTTGAAAATGCGGTTAAAAAGAAAACTATAAAAATATCGTATCAATGTTGTAAAGAGTACGAGGATCTCACCAGATCGCCAGTAAACGAGACAGGGACAAAAAGGGCTAGATAGTGTAGTGACAGAGAGATATCTCTGTGTGCCTAGTGCGAGATGTTGTTTTTACGCACTCGATACCGAGAAAGTTAACTACAATTTGTATGGAATAAAATCGGCGCCAATTAGTGGCAAAAATGTGCTCACAAAGGCAGTGGTACAGTCTCTTATTTATCTAAAACTATATACGAAGAATTTATAGAGTTAATGGCTGCAAAAGTATTAAAACGTATTATTGATGAAATACACAGTGCAAAATATTGGGGACTCGTCGTAGATTCTACCCCATATATATCCCACATCGATCAGTTTTCAGTCATTTTCCGATACTACTTAGATGGTCACGTTTATGAACGTTTTTTCTGCTTTTTACAAATACAAAGTCATAAAGGTAGGTCACTTAGTAATGACGTATTAGATTTAATACAGGAGCACGGTATAGACACAAGAATGCTAACCGACAAAGACTTACAAGCTAGTAGCTTAAGCCCGGCTGATAAATTCCGAGTAAACGCATTTTATGTGATTATAGACAAATTAGTTGCCGAGTTGCAGAAACGGAGTGAAGCAAATGATCGCATCATTCAACTATTTGCCTTTCTCACACAATTATTATTTATAGAAGCAGATGTATTAGAAAAAAAAGTAGCAAATCTCGTAAAGGCTTACTCTGACGATTTAGAAAAAGATTTATCAGTTGAATTGAAACAATTTATACCATGTTCAAAACGGCAGCCTAAGGGCTTTTTTCTTATCGTACAGGAAAAAACACAAGTGCAAATGATGAAATCTTGTGTCCCTTAAAAGTTTTAAATTGGCTTGTAGATTTAGACATGATACAAGTTTTACCGTATACCTAGATTGTTTTACTTACACTTCCAATCGCAAATTACGAATCAAAAAGATAATTTTCAGTTTTGAAAAGCATGTATCAATCAACGATGTCAGACGACAGACTATCATCTTTAACAAGATTAAGCATCGAAGTCTACTTACTGAGATCAATTGAGTTCGATAACTTAATTCATGATTTTGCTAGAGCAAAATCAAGAAAAAAAATTTTTAATCGAATTTTAAAATAATTGTCTGTACTTCATTGTATCTATAAATAATATTTTATAATAAATAATTTATAATAAATTAATAAATGAATTTTTTTTTATTTGATAAATAGCCTTTTTCGCTGTCCTTAAGTGGGCCCCTTCTCAATTTTAGCCCCGGGCCCGATAAAGTTCAAATCCGCCCCTGTACGTAGGTACCTCTGTGAAAAAGCCTAGCGATTTGTACATAGTATTTGTTACAGTTAAAAGCAATTTAATCCAATTAGTGTTAATAAACCCAATTTTATACCCTTTTGAAAAAACTAACGTTGAAAACAAGCGTCCAGACGCAAACTATTTATTTTACAGCATAGCAACAATAGTTCAGTGCGGGAACGAAGCCTCGGTCCTGCAGTGCCGCAGCCAAACGCTTAGCCTCTGCGCTACGTAGTCGTCATTTAGTTTTTACTTAATTAATTATTAGTATAATAGTGCGTTTTAATTTTATATTTTCTTTACACATATTTTTGTACCTAATAACTGTAGAGATACAATTATATAATTACAAATTTCCACGTGTAAAATACAATGATTTGTTATCCTAATTGGCATTTTTACTCAATTCCTAGATTAAAAAAAGTATTGCTCATAAATAATTCAGTATAGAGAACTAACTTTTATTATGTAAAAATATCGACAAAAGTTTTATCGATAGAATTATTCGAGGATAGACATTTACAGCACTATTAGAAATCGCCTATGTTGTCGGAACTGTTTGTCAAAAATTAATTGTCGTCTTGATATTGGTAGAGTAACTTGGCGCAATGTCATACATTTACTTTTTCTTAGGAAGTTCCGCCTCTTAAACGTAGTGGTTATATTCTCTTTGGGACCAATATTTACTAGCTACACTAGTTGTACTGTTTGTCTTATTGATACACTAGAAGAGTTGATAATTGATAATAATATATAAATCAAACTACAACAATGAATGATGTAAGCTGGTTTATTATTATGTTATATTGCAATAATTTCAACGACCTTATTACACACTGAGTAACGCAACCATAGTGCAATCTATTTCTATGTCAACACCATCTATCGAAGTAGAACTAAAACTTTATTAATTACAAATGTGGTTTCTTCATTAACAATGTAAACAAGGTTTTAATAACTTACTGCATCACCCATCAGAAATACTTGTATTTACCACCATTAGGCACTGTTACATTACAATTACAATATGGCAAGCATCAACAATGTAGATAAAATACAGAAAGAACTGGAAGTCAGCTGGATGCAAAAGATGGCATAATTCGAAGATCGTCTGAAGGCTTCACTGGTCCCTTCCAATCCAACGTTAGTGCAGCTAAGTCAGGAATTTTATGCATTCAAGGATTTGGTCACACAAATGTTTAGTCTACTGCAACTGCAAGTTAGAAGTTGTATAAATACAATTGATGGACTTGACATGCGTCAACGGCAAAACATATTGCTGTTTAATGGCATCCCAGAGGACTCTGAAGTAAGCTTAATTGATAAGGTTCTAACCTTAACACATATTAAGATGGGTCTTTCCGATGTGAGTAGCTCCTCGATCAAACGGTGTCACAGATTGGGATCGCAAGGTAAAGATCAAGCTAAAGCAGTCCTCGTCCACTTCCATGATCACCACATAAAATCAGTAGTTTGGAAGTCTAAGGGTAATTAAAAGGTACGTCTTTCACATTATCTGAGCTTCTCACAAAGAGACGTCAATATATTCACAAGCAGACCAGGAAGCACTTTGGCATGAGGAATGTGTGGATGCTTGATGGCACAGTATACATTAAATTTCCTGATAGTAGTCGTGCAAAAGTAACTTCAGAGGAAGACTTTAATAATCTTGCCTCCAAGTACTCGCCAGGGTGTTCTCCTCATTCTATGCAACACCTCCCAAAAACAAAGATGGCACAGGTCATCTATCTGGTGGATCACAGCAAAGTACATCTAAATGTAATCGCCAACAAGAAGTGGTCCCACGCTGTCAACGGCCTCCATTGGGTTCAAGCAAAGAAGATAAAAGAGTACATGGTTTTGTGACCAAAAAATAATGGCATTAGTGATATTTTCGAACGCTTTTTTATAATTGTAACGATTCATTAAAATAATTAAATTTTACTTTAATTCAGTCTTAATTTGCTTGATATTATTTAAGCTTTTTATTATAGTAGTGTTTAACGGTATCATTACATTATATTTGTCTTCTTTGTTTAATTAATTTAACTATTAAGGATTTAATATTATGTATTATCTACTTTGTACTTATATAATAACGCAACTATATTAGTAAGTAAATTATTAATAAAGTATAAAGTAGGTAGAAAAATACAAACATTGTTAAAGATATAGTTGTTGTTACGATTCGCCAACTAAGGCAGGCAAAGGTCTTAGACCTTACAGCCTTGTGTGATTCAATATTTATAAATACTGCTGGCAAACAGATTTTATTCCATATCCTGATTAAATTTACATTGTTTACTGTTTCCCTATTAACATCGATTTTGAGAAATGATTTGGTTACACAGACACAAACAAATTAAATTTTTGACTTTTGTCTTTGTTGGGAAATATTACTAAGTTGTGGACTTATTCATTTGTTGAATGTAGATGTTTTGTTATACTCTGTTTCTGGTTTCTACTTTCCTAATAGTGTTTTTTAATATTTTATTAATTTTAAGGTATATTTTAATACAATAATTTTTATTTTTATCAGTCAACTGATGGGATAGTGTAGTGATAGCAGAATAGTTGATATAGTGGTTTATGCGAGTAGTGTAGTGGTTCTTTTATACTTATATTTTGATTTATCTATTATTATATTTTATTATTTATATATTTATCTAATATACATATTATAGTTTAAAAAAATAATTTTAATTTTGTAATGAAACTGTGTTGTCTGTATCAAATAAATTATTATTATTTTCGGAAAGTGTTTTTCACTTCTCAGTCCTTGGACTGGAATTCAACTACTTTTATGGGCCGAAACCAAAGCAAATGCAGCGTGAGGTGTGTATATTTATGTATTTTCATGAGATCCTATTTCGATTACTTCTATCTGCATGAATTTACTGACAATTCTGCATGTATTTAATATAGCAGCTTTTTGCAGTGTTATATAGAGGGTTTTCTTTAGGTCTAATAGTGACAAGCTATGGAGGAGACGATTTGGTATTACTCCTGTTGTGGAGAGGACTATAGGACCACATTTACTTTTTCTTGTCGCCAGATTCTAGTCACTTCATCTTTGAGCTCCGCGTACTTACAAATTTTTTCTGTGATTGTCTTCTGTATGTTGTGTGTGTTGGGAACTGCAATGTCTATCAGGTACGTAATTTTATTTATTTTGTCTTGTAGGATTATATCTGGTCTGTTATAATGGATTGTCTTGTCAGTAATAATGGCGCGGTCGTACAAGAGTTTATGTGTAGTATTTTCTAGGGTAATTTTTGGTGTATAATTGTAGTAAGGAGTGTTGGTATTTTTAATGAGTGCGTGTTTGAGTGCTAGTTTTTGGTGAATGACATTGGCCACCTGGTTGTGCCTGTGGGTGTAGTCGGTCTGCGTCAGAGTTGTGCATGCGCCTGTTATGTGTTGGATGGTTTCTAGGTGGATGTGGCATTTGCGACATTTGTCATTAAATACTGTAGGATCTTTTATTATGTATTTCCTGTAGTTTTTTGTGTTTATGATTTGGTCTTGAATAGCTATTATAAATCCTTCGGTTTCCGGAAATAAGTTGCTTATTTTCAGCCATTTATTTGAAGCTAACTTATTTATGTGTGGTTGCTCCAAGTCATGAGGGTGCCGACCGTCGAGTACTATCCTCTTCCAATCCTCAATTTTTTGTGTCTGCTGGTTATCAATGGTAGTGTTTTGGGTTTCTATTTGATTGCTAAGGTTAAGTGGAGTGTAGTTAATATCATTTGTTACTATGGCCTTATGTATATTACTAGTGTGGGACTTTGTGTAGAAGAACGATTTTAGTCGTTCAACTTGTTTCTGCCTTAGGTGCTGAATATCTATTAGACCTCTCCCTCCAAGTTCCCGTTTTATGGTTAATCTTTCTATGGCGGACTTAGGGTGCAGGTTATTATGTTTCGTAAGTGTTGTTCGTGTAGTACGTTCTAATTGTTCTGTGTCAGTTTTGGACCATTTTATAACCCCGAATGAGTACGTTAATACGGGAATGGCGGAGGTGTTTATGGCTTTGATGAGATGTTTACCTGAAAGCTGCTTTTTACAAACGGCATTAAGTCTTCTCTTGTATTCCGTAGTTAGTGTACTTTTTATACGTACGTGGTCAAGACCTTTAAGTTGCACATACCCTAAATATTTATACAAGTCAGTCGGTTTCATTGCTGTAATAACATCCGTGTCATTCACTACATAGTCGCCGGGCCTTACTTTGCCTCTTACGGTACGAAGTGTTTTACATTTATCCAAACCAAATTGCATATTAATATTGTTACTAAATTCTGCTGTAATATCTACTAATTTCTTCATATCTTTTTCTGTTTTCGCGTATAATTTAATATCGTCCATGTATATAAGATGCGATATTGTTGTTTCGTCTGTATTATTTTTTAGACTATATCCTGCCTTACAGCTCTGCAACAAATGAGACAGAGGATTTAGGGCGAGACAGAACCACAGTGGGCTTAGGGAGTCGCCTTGGTAGATGCCTTTTTTGATGGAAATATCTCGTGTTGTGATAGTATT